GGTGTTCAAATACTTATGTTCAGCAGTGCAAGACAAATAAATTCTTTAAAAATCATACAATGTGATTTCCTGAAATTTTTTTTTTTTAATTCTGTCTCTGAGTGGGAATGCACCTACAATGTGAATTTCAGACCCCCTCCATGATTTCTAAGTGGGAGAACTTGCAAAATCGCAGGGTGTTCAAATACTTCTGTTCCTCACTGTATATGTGTGTATATCCTTGTTTTTCTTGCCTGGATTGTCTGCCTCAGTTTCTAGTTGCCTTTCTCTAGTAGTAAATAAGCTGTTAAATTTACCTACCAGCCTGTCTGCCTATATTTTGTTTGCATTTGAGTCCTTTGCCTTACACTGGTGTTTTAACACAATCCTGACAAAAAAAGGTGTGGGAACCACCAGCATAGAGTGTTGCTGTATGGCTGAAAGTTTGTAATTACAGATACCTCCTCACCTCCAAGTACACAGCCCAGGGCATAACCAATGAAGCCACCAGCAGGTCCGCCACAGCCAGGCTGACCACCAGGTAGTTGGTGGTGGTCTGGAGGGAACGCTCCTTCAGCACAGCCAGACACACCAGCACGTTCCCAAACACGATGGCCAGGATGAGCAAGGAGTACAGCATGGCGTAGTAGTTACACGCCCCCTTGTCTTGTTCCGATGCCTCTAAACTCTCATTACTCTCATCCCATCTGAGGAGGTTTGACTCATTCCAGAGTTGGTGTGCACCTCTAAACATTGCCATGGAGACGTCCTTTTGACGTGAAGATGAGATGTTTGGCACACCTACCAGAGGAAAAGAGTTTGGTGTTTACCATTCATCAAGCAACTTCTTTTTTAGATTTTGCTGCAAACACAGACAATGTTTTTCCATCTCATTGGTCAAATTAAAGTACAGAATAGCCATCAGAAGATGGTGGCAGCATCATTTCATGTCAGAGGCCTATGGGGAGACATCTCCTAGCAACAGTGGTCAGATGAACTGATAAATAAAATGGTTGAAATGCATCCCAATAGTATTGTTCCTTGCTGTGTGTCACAGATTTTTGTCGTGCACTGGCACAAAGGTTTTATTTATTTGCTGAATAAAAAAATGTAAAAACATGCTGATGCCTCCTTTAAATATGGCTCAACTCCATAACCCCATAAAGACTCAGCAGAAAGTCATGCTTTAGCAGCAGACATCAACAACATTAAAATTTATGATGGTTCCCGTATCCCCTTCCTTCCTGTGAATGGCTTTTACCACAACTAACGGAGACAGAAACATAGAGATGGTGACTTTACTGAGGGGTTGGCAGTGAGCCTTTGAGCAGTGTCACTGAGATTAGCTCATTGGGGAGGGCTAATAAGTGTAAACTGCCACCCTAGGAGGTCAGATTGGCTCTGATCCTGGGTTCTGCACCTTGCACTCCATCCTTCCTCTCATTTACTTCCAAACCGCCCTATCTGGTCCCCGTCCAGATAACAGTACTGTGGTAAAGCTCACACCTGTATCGAGATAGTAAACACACTGATGCATCTAATCCAGCTTCAGTCTGACAGAAATTGAGAGAAAGACACCAAGAAACTAAACATTATTAGTTTCTGGCTTGAACCCAGGAGGCGTTTAAGATTCCCTCTGTCTGTAATTCCACTCAGTTACTCAGTGGCTCCAGGATCATGTTATTCTCCACAAAAGAATCTGAAGAAGCAAATGAAAGCCAGCCACTGATACCAGTCACCTTGAATTCTCCTATTTGTGAGTGCAGCACTGAGTTTATCAAAAACATACAGTAGATGTGATGTAAATCATTAAACCACATACAGTACATGCACATTCACACACACAACCTATACTGTACGCACACATGGATTAGGGGGCAAGGTCGTGTAATACAAGGTTACAAACAACAAGTGCTAATTGAAACTAATTTTCCTCTTCAATCTTTTGTTCACTGGACCTCCCTCTCATATTCTCCACCTGCTGCTACTGCTGCTCCCTCAATTTCATTGTGCAGACACGACCTCTCCTTCTGTGTGAAATGGATTATCAAACCCTTAATGCATGTTTCTTGTTCAGTGTGTTTGCTATGAAGCCATTAGGAAGGATGTACAGTAACGGGAGAGGGCGTTTTACTGTGTTTACCTTCATTAAGACCTAAAGACAACTTGGTTACATTTTCAGTTGTCATGAATTAACTGGAGCTTATGCAGCCAAACTGACTGATGTTTTTTCATGTTAATTTCTAGAAATAACTGTCAGGGAATTATAATTTGTGCCAGTCAAACAATAATTGCCAAATTCAATTAAAACCTGTGATATGAGCCTATTATCGGGCTTTACAATCAATCTACCAGAAAACTGGGGTCAAATATAGTGCGATAACAGCGAGGAATAATTAAGCAAAATGATCTTCACACTTGATCACCTATCAGAGCACAGTTACAAAGCTTTAGATTTAACAGGCGCAGACTCTGAAGCTAAAGGACGTTTAATGAAGCTTATAGGTGTAAAATTTCACACGGTAAAAAATAAAGTAAACAGACTTACAACACTGTTACTGTTTCCAAGTGAGGAATTCATCAGATGCCATCGAGGAAAAGCATCATCCGTGCAGAGTTAATGTGTGTCTGGCCATCGCGTCCTGCACAGTGAGGAGAGCGGGAGGAGCAGGAGAGCGCTCGGTGCCATTGCGCACAGGCGACTGTGTATGTGGGAAGCTCGCAAATGACCCGCCGCGCACTCACTCGCCGCATTTCCCCCCACAACTCTGTGGGTCTGTGACAGCCGATGAACTTTTTACACTTTGATTTGACAGCAAAACCGGGTGCGCAGCATGTGGCAGAGAACTCAGGTTGTGTCTCCCTTTGCGCGGCGATGCAGTGGCAAATGAAGGTGGCCAGTTACAGCCAAAATACGTTTGATCTTAGAATAAAAGAACTTTCACCCATTTGTATTATATAATTTATCATATCATCGTGCATTATTTTAAAACTCTTGTTCCATTGCTGTTTTCCATAGGACCCTGGACTAGTCTGGATCGAGCTTTGCTGGAAGTAACATTTGCACAAAAATAGCCCAATGTTGGCCTCATAAAACAGCCAGGTGCGCGGACCAGTAAGACCAAGGGAGCGTAAAATATGTCACTCTTGGTCTATGGATGAAAAACTATGCACAGACTGAAGCAATATTGTGGCTCTGTGGGTCCCTTTCCACCCCTTTTGCACAATAAAAAACGCTCGGCGCAGATAAAACGTGCCAGGAGCCTGCCTTAAATCTCTCTCTACCAGGCAATGTGCTTTGCTTTGCAATCTTTTTCTTAAGATAAGAGTAAGAAGCCGCGCAGGAACCCCACACCAAACAAATAAGATCTGAAAAAAATGTATTCTTTTCCTCTATGTACCAGTTCCAGGTCGCAAAGAATCCTATTTTACCTTGGAAGAAAATCAAGACTTTTCTAGTACCTCTTTTATATGCACATTTTTTTAAAGCAACCAGCAAGTTTTCAAATGTCCTTGGTGCCCACTGGAAATTTGATTCATTCTTCTTTATCACAGCAGCACAGTAGCAAATACAGTATTTCCTGTACAATGCAGAGCTGAAGAGAATCCTAAAACATACTGGAGGTGGCATGAGACCGTGCACCTGAAACATGACAAAATCATTTCTAACACAAACTCAGTTTTGACTGTAAATGACATTTTACACACAGAGCTGCTTCTCTGTTAAATGTACAGTATATTCTGGTCTTCCTTGCACGTCATGTATGTACAGTATATTATACAACATCCAGGAATGTAATCTAATCATATCCCACGTGAATAGCATCACTTTCTCCACTAACCCACACTAACACTCAAACACACACACACACACACACACACCTTGAGGATTTGCAATTAGCCCCAATGAAAGGGGAATGGATGGACACCACCATCAGAAAACGGTACTTTTTAAAGTGTGCAGTGGGGTCTGCTCTCCCTCTGAATGAGGGATGAGAGCTAGTTAAAGACCTCAGGAGCTTTCCTCTATGATAATACCAATGTGAAGGTCGGGCCTGAGAGGACATCACTACAATACAGTAATGACAAAGGACACTTGTGGAAAAATGTCAAGTTTCATTTTCAGAATTGGCTGAAATTTTGCCGCCATCTACTGGGGCAGAGATTGAATTGCTCTTATCCCACAAAAACACACTGCCTCAAATACAAACAGTACAAGAAAGTTTTGAGTAGCTTGTATTCAAACTGGATAAGTGATAAAATAAAGTAGACTTATAATATTTTGTATGCATATTATAACCCCCTGAATTTTGAGCATGCTATTGAAGGACATAAAGGAAATAGAGGAGCTGCATAGACTCCTGTATAGTGGTGAAACAGCTCCACAAACACCTCAGTAGACAAATAAACAAAAAGTACACTTTTATATTTTCCTTTGTTTGTGTCATTAAGTTTAATTGCTAGTTGTAAAGTTAGTTTGAATTACATATGACAGTGCAAGAATAATTTTCTATTAAGCCTTAAACATGTTTAGTTCACTTACTACAAAACAGTATCAAGAACAGCAAAGCCGCAACTAACTTTTTTACACTTTCCGATTCCATTTTATACACAGGGCCACGTCTCGGTGTGCTTCCTGTGTTAGTAAATGGAGTGTGGGTGTGGTGCTTTGGGAAAACACCTCTGAAAACCCCAGCATGATGGTAAACGATTTCCAGAAAATAACTATTATGGTAGTTAAAACCTAATAGAATTTGAGCTTTTGTTCAAAAATATACAGGCATTACACATGCCCACAAGGTTTTAAGTCACATTTCCCATTTCTCTCCATTGGCCAGACTGGACACTTTTTCCAGCACCATGAACGCGATCAGCTGTCAAACGGAGCCACGCCTCGGACTAACCCACATTATCGGAAAAGAGGGTGAACACAGAAACATTTGGACATAGATTTTAGATATCCCCTTCGTGATACTTTAGACAAGTTACCTTGTAAGTATTACACGTGTTTTTATTGCTATTTACAACTCGGAAGCTATTTTTATTTAATTTGGTTGTGGCATCGTTCTCCCCCCCCTTCCTCTGTCGATGGTACGGCCCAAAACACAGTCATATGATTCACTGACTCATCTTGAACATGTCATTGTAACAGACTGGACTGGTTTTTGTTGATCTCATTTTCACTGTTAATTTCCATCACAATGTCGGGCATGTGTGGAGGCCTTTCCGCGTCGAAGCCTGCTGACGAAGAAATTCAGAAGCTATGCGACAGCGTAAGTAGAAAAGGATTAACAGGCTATTGTACGTTGACTTACTGCCGCCAACTACTCGGTTAACAAGGCCCTTGTTTCTTTTGAATGTTGCTGCCCGCTCGTTGTTCCTCAGGTAAAATCCCTTGCAGAGGCAAAATCCGGGAAAAACTATGGTGTCTTTAACGCCATAAGCTACACGTCGCAGATTGTGGCCGGGACCAACTACTTCGTAAAGGTAACTTTTATTTACGAGGCAAACAAAACCACAGAGCCACTAAAGTCCCAGTTTTGTGGTGATTTTAAACACAGTTAGTAGCTATGTACAAAACTGATCGACAGTAGGCTAAACGATTTTGCTCTGTAGCAACATAATCAAATGAGATGTAAAACAACTACTTTGGCTATAAACAGAAGTCCAACCACATTTTTTCAGTGTTATTTTCTATTTCCCGTTGCCTACAAACACATCGAGAACCTCTGCACCAAAGTCAGATTCCTAGGTTCAAACGTGGCCATCAAAGATGATTGTGATGATGTTAAAGGGTTTATTGTAGTGATTAGCCCACAGACAGTTATCAATGGAGTCTGCAGACAAAATAACTCAACATTATGTTGCTTTCTTGCTGCAGGTCAACATTGGAGGAGATGGTTATATTCACCTTCGTATTTACAAAAAACTCCCATGTTATGGGGGGGATCTTGAATTGACGGCTATTCAAGAACCCAAGACCCTGCATGACCCTATTGTGTACTTCTAATGGGAACACAGAACTATACAGTGATTCATCAGTGCCTACAGGCTGTAGTCTCATTATAATCATTTAATTTCAGAATTTCCCTGCTTCATGTCATAAAACCATGCTCATATGTGCTAACATGTAATAACACTATATGTATGTCATAATAGAAGCATGCCATTGTGGAACTATTTTGTACAAGGAGAATTTAAAAATAAAGCTGATTTTTTTGATTTTGTGTTGTGTTGCTTTTGTCCTTGACGGGCTTTCTAATTTGTAAAATAGCTGCAGGCCAGGCCGTATGTCTTCAGCTGGCAACGATGATGTTTTCATGAAGACAAGTCTGTTCATGACTGTAAGATCGTTAGTCAGCTGAGTGTAGCAGCTGTTATAGGCTCACAACAAGTTTACAAAGTCCACTCCAAGGCAGTTTAGTTTATGTTATGTATTGAATATTGGAAAATAAACAAGTATTTTATATAGATTTGTGTAATGATGTCAGGATGAAGGTCACTTTTATTGACTGAATTTACAAAAGTCTTTCACAGACTATATTGATGTTTTCTTCTAGGGGTAAATTCCATACTTTTGTGTCTTAAGCTCATACTGGCTGTCCAGTCTCCTCAAACTTGTAGTGGGTGGTCAAATATTATTCAAACCACAAAAGTTCATTTTAATTTTTAGTAGCTGTCAAGTAACTTTACTTTCTAGTAGGGGTCCCAAATTTTTAGAAGTTACCAAATATGAATGTTGGCTAAATGTGTATAAAATTAATATTGGAAAATATCCATCCATCCATCCATCCATCCATCCATTTTCCTCCGCTAATCCGGAACCGGGTCGCGGAGGCAGCAGTCTAAGCAAAGATTCCTAGACTTCCCTCTCTCCAGCCACTTCCTCCAGCTCCTCCGGGGGAATGCTGAGGCGTTTCCAGGCTCAGCCAAGAGACATAGTCCCTCCAGCGTGTCCTGGGTCTTCCCCTGGGTCTTCCCCTGGGCCTCCTCCCGGTGGGACATGCCCGGAACAGTATGCAGAAGATGTTTAAATTATTTCCTTTTCCAGTGATGCCGTCTTGAAGACATATTCATTGAAATATTCACTGAAGATGTTTAATAATAGGGGCATGCCAAATATACACACATATATATACACTGAAAAAGAAAGTGTCCCAGTTCAATGCTAGTTGGTGTCTTTCCATGCCTACATTTGTTGTCTTACCACCTCATTTCATGTTTTCTTTTTTCTTGTTCAGTGAGAGAAATCTAGTCTCTGCTGGGCTTTAATGAGTGCATCAAAGTCAGGTTGAATGTCTGAGGTGGAGATCTATATCTGGATTTCGTAAAGTTCATCATTGAAAATGTTTGTTCACATATGTAGGTAGAGCCAAAGAGAACCAACATCTTCTGAGCATGTCTTCTAATGTTTGGAAAGTTCTCCTCCTTGAGAGAAGAGTAGAAATCCCGCAGAGATCCTGACCTAAAGTGCTCTGCCAGTACTGCATCAGACTGCAGGTCAATGACTTCTAGCTGAACATCACTGGGTGCATTATCTACACTGCAGGTAAAGGGAGAAGAAATCATGTGCATTTCATCTTCGATTGTTCTGAGATCCTCAAATCGCCTTGAAAACTCACCATGCAATGCTCCTAACATGGATGAGTACCTGCGGCAGTGATCAGCTGATGGTGTGACTTCTTTCAGGGTTTGCATGTGAGTGAGAGTGTTGCTCTCCAGTTGGCTCGAAAGAAACTGCATATTTCTCTTTCTCTCTCTGAATTTAGCATATGGCTGCAATATAACAAAGAGTGAAAAATTTAAGGGGGTCTGAATACTTTTCGTACCCACTGTGTATATATATATA